AGGTGACTTTCTCGAGCTGGAAAGGTGATACCAGAGCTCAGGGGGCTCTAGCTGGATGGGCATGGTGGATGAAGTGCAGGGGAGTAGGGGCTTGATGCACTGTGGAGTGCTCCATGTCCTGCAGCTGGGCGGTAGTACATGGGCACTGTCAATGAGAGCAGTTGCCCAGGCTTACCACCGGCTGTAGACATTTGTCAGAGCAGAGGGCCTATCCCAGGACCGAAAGCGTTAGCTCTACCCGGAGGAGCAGCTCGTCCTAGTCGTGGTGTTGACCTTGTCCTCAAGCACAAGCTCTGTGGGTCAACCCCCACCAGAATGTCACCAACAGGGACCCATGAGAAGATAGAGCTAGCTCACAGGAGTGTGTCCCCAGGAAGGAGACAACACCCTTCAGTGGGGTGAGGGGGAGCCCATGAAACAGAGCCGTATGCTCAGACCAGGGTGGGAAATAATCTGGAGAAGAGGCCAGCACAGTTCAGGATGGAAGCGGTGGATGGGAAGACGTCCAGGACGGCAGAACCAGTGAGATTAGCGGAGAGTAAAATCATGGCATTAGTGATGTGTGAGGACCAGACCAAAGGCCGGGCTGTGGTGAGGGGAGCCTGAAACAAAACAGACACCAAGAGCTGAAAACCTGAAGAGCAGCAAGAAAAACCTGAAATGATCAAAGAACCTGCAAATGAAGTTCTCCAAAGAAAGGGATGTCGAGAAGCGTCTAAAGGGGTCCACAGAGCCAGAGTTGCAGGCAAGGGGAGAGTGGGAGTCCGGGCGCAGTACTGAGCAGCCTGACACATAGGAAACCATAGTATGAGGGGAAAGGCTGGGCCTGGAAGTGGAACAAAGAGAAAGTGCCAACCAGTTTTCCAAATTTGAAATCACATCGTTGAGAACACAGGAAACTTGAAGCATTTCCAGACACCCACCTGTCAACTGACATCTAAGAAGCGTTCCGTCCGACCACAGTGGGAAGCTTTGTTTAAGCTATGTGAACACACACCAAAATAAGCCACCTTCTCAGCCCTGTGAGCCATGGCACATCATAAGGACTGAAATCCAGACTATGTCCAGACCTCAGCAGAGCGAGGAGTCGCCTGTGCTCTGGAAGACTGCGAGCATGTGGAAATTAGAGAGAGTGTGTAAAAGTAGCCCTCGGATCAAAGATACAAATCACCATGGGAATTAGGGTGTATTTTCAGCAAAACGAAAATGAAATCAAGCTAACACAACACCTAGGGAGCAGCGCTCTGTGATTCTTCTTGGTAAACAAGGGAGGCCTGGAGTCTGTGCTTTGACTCAGACCTAGAGATGGGGCACAAGCGAAGCCCCAAATAACTAGTTACGTGCAGGCTATGAACAGTGGGAATAGGCAGCTCAGGAGGAAACAGCCAAGACCAGGCTCTTGCATTTTGGGACAGCAAAATGGACATTTCTAGTTGGTTTTACTGGTCAAGAAAGAGGAAGAAGTAAATGACCCATATTAGGAATGGAAAGGGTCATCACCCCAGAGTCAGCGGACATTAAAGGGACAATCCAGAAGGCAATGGCCTCGCACAGACACACCCAGCAGTGTAAAGGAAACAACCCAGGATTGGAAAGCGAGAGTGTGAAATTAACACGAGAAAAATAAAAGGTCAGAGCAGCCCTGGAGCAGACAAAGAGATTAAAGTCTTAACTAAAAACACATTAGAAAGCAAACTCTGATTCTAAGAGGCCTCCCAATCAGATTCTCGTCCTTTCTGGGAGAAATGGCACCAATCTCACCGTGCACGAGAACAAGAGAGGATGACACACACACAGCTCACTCATTATTTCTAGATAATTGCAGCCAAGTGTAGGAGCTCGTGGGGTATGGTGGTGTATTGCCTTCTCACCCAGGTGCAGCACGGATAATAAAAACCCAGAGACAGGTGTTGGGATTCAACCTGAAGACCAGGAAAGCAAAGCAGCCAGCCTCTGGCTCTTAACCTCGACCTCAGACTGAAATGATGACCCTTCCTCCACAAATCCTCAGAATGAGACTATCTGAGAGCTGTCTCCTCCCGTCTTAGATTCCTCTCTAGTGCTGGGATTAAAGGCGTGCACCACTACCGCCCAGGCGTCTATGGCAAACTAGTGAGCCACTGGGATTAAAGGTATGTGCCATCACTGCCTGATCAGTATAGTATATACTATGTTCATTAACCCAAAGGCACAATGTCAAATGTCTGATCCTCTCTAAGCGATCTGTGGGTTTAATGAAATCTCAGTCAAGATCCTGTCAGATTTGATGGGCTGGTTTTAAAACCTCTGGGGTTCATAGGTGACCCAGCGTGGCCAACCAAACCTGAAAACAACAGTATCAAAGAACTTCCATTCTTTGACACCAAGTCTACTGAGCTGTTGTTGTGTGAGGCATAACAGGAAACCGCATACTGGCTGGAACCCAGTGGTATCCCTCCTGCGTGTGCTCAGCAGGGTGCTGGTTGAAGAGACCCAGTGGACAAAGGGAAGTATCCACAAGGAGTTGTAACAATTCAGGACATCAAAAACTGACTCAAAATGTTACAAAACGAAACATGAGGGGTCTAGCCAAACTCCTTATGGTGAGGAAACACCTGCGGGGCAGTGGCGGGGTGGGGGGGTGGGGGGGATATATCACTGCTCAAGGGTGAGGAAGTCAGCTCCTTACGTAGGCCAACCAGTAAGCCAAGAGCGTGGACTGGGAGCTGGAGGGACTGGAAGCATTAAAGAGCTATACTCTGGCCCTCTCTTGCTGTGCCTCAACCCCAAACATTCTGCAACCTCCCAAAACAGCACTGCAGGCCAGGAACTGAGTGTTCAGACACACGCACCCTGAGGGCATTTCACACTCAACCCTCAGCAGGAGCCTAGAATGAGTCTGTGTGGTTCTGAGTTAAAGGAGCACTTATCAGGGAGGGTCACCGAAGACAAAAGGTAAAGTGGACTTTGCTGGAATAAGGATTAGGATCAGCACTGACGAGGCACTGTGGGGAGAAGGTTTGCAGTATTTATGTTAATACTGTGTTTGGCATCCAGAAGTCATAAAGAGCATGTACTTTAATAATATAAATACAACAATCTAGTCTAAGAAAAATAGGCAGGAGGATAGTCAGATAATGTCGGTCCTAGCATGGAGAAGAATGGCTGACATGGTGGGCGGAGACAGACAACAGTGCAGTCTGAAGAAGCCCCGAGCAGCCGCTCTCAGGAGAGCAAGCCTGTCAAGACTCAATGACCATACTTTTCCTCAGTCTCCACAGAGAGAACCAGAAAAGTTTGCTCAACAGAAACTGAGCACACTGTTCACACAGGCTGACTTGCTGTCTGGGCATGTCCTCAGGAGTCCCCAGGGCAGGAATGTCTGGGGTACCAGATGTGAGAGGTGGAAGGATACTGAAGGAACCGGTGGAAGGAGTTCCTCTGAGGCGGGAGAGAGCATGGCTCAGCTGGACGTGGCTGGAAGGAGAATGGACTGGGAGAACATCTGAGACCCCATGAACAGCATGGCCAGGGATGCGCTGGGTGCAGATGGATGCAGGATGGAGGGACAGGAAAGGCTCAGAGAGGGAGGTCAGTGCCCAGTCAGTGGTGTCAGGGTGGGATGGGGACATGGATATTGATTGGCATCCTTGCTTCATTGCAGGTAACGGTCAGTTGATCATGACCTCTCCTCTGCTCCTCAACATGATTCTGCTGGAAGTTTCCAGGTCTTGACACATTGCTCACTCACCTGAGCACCAAGTCCAGCCCATGTCTGCTCCACACCAGAGAGGGCTGATAATCCTTCCCCTTTATGAGTGAGAACAATGCAACCTATAGAGGGTCCCAGTGTCCCAGTAGAGGGTACTGGACAGTGTCTGATCCTGGGTATCCCCCTTCACCCCCACTATGATTTTATTACCTGATGAATATCTCTTCTCTCTCTCTCTCTCTCTCTCTCTCTCTATATATATATATATATATATATATATATATATATATCCTTTTTTTCAGAGAACTCTAGGGTAGGCAGGACTCACAAGGTAACCCAGGCCAGGGGCTACAGTGCCTAGAGCCATGAGTATGGGTTTGCTTGTGTGATTTTAGAGAAATGAGTAGTTGGTGGGCACGGCCTATAGGGGACTGCTGAACCCTCTGTGGGGATGGCCTATAGGGGCTACTGAACCCTTAGTAGGGATGGTCTATAGGGACAGCTGAACTCTCAGTGGGGATGGCCTATAGAGACAACTGAACCCTCTGTGGGGATTGTCTACAGGGACAGCTGAACCCTTAGTAGGGATGGTCTATAGGGGCTGCTTAACCCTTAGTAGGGATGGTCTACAGGGACAGCTGAACCCTTAGTAGGGATGGTCTATAGGGGCTGCTTAACCCTTAGTAGGGATGGTCTATAGGGACAGCTGAACCCTTAGTAGGGATGGTCTATAGGGGCTGCTGAACCCTTAGCAGGGATGGTCTATAGGGACAGCTGAACCCTTAGTAGGGATGGTCTATAGGGGCTGCTGAACCCTTAGCAGGGATGGTCTATAGGGGACTGCCCATACCTGTGGGTGACCAGTGACCCATAGGTGTCAGAGGAGACTGAACATTTGGGAGAGGGGCCCTGAGTCACACTGTGATTCCCAGGGGAGGTGGCTGCTGTCACTTGTCAATTGCAGAACTGAGTCCTTCCCTCCTAAAAACATTTCTGACTATGGAGACAGATATTTACATGTTCCAGAACATGAGAGCAAATCCAGGTGGGTAAGAGTTTATTGAAACCATGGGCTGCAGACAAGCTGATGTCAGGGGCAGGTAACCAGAGCAGAGGGACAGGGGGATCCCTGTCCAGTGACCCAGAGGGTCAGCAGGCCTCCTGGGAAGCAAAAGGAGAGGTCAAGTCATGAAGGATAGATTGGAGCTTCATCCTGGGGGACTGTCTTTCCCAGACCAGGATCAGGCTGAGAGAGCTGGAAGAGGCCACAGGGAGGGACATGAGCCAGCTGGAACCAGGAACAGTCCCATCAGCAGCTGGACTTCTGGCCACAGCAAGCCTGGCTGGAGCAGGCAGGACGGCAGATCAGGGACATGCTGGAGCAGGGCTTGCAGCAGCTGGGCTGGCAGGAGGAGGCACAGCAGGAGGAGCTGGGCACACAGCAGGCAGGTCTGCACACAGGGCGGCAGAGCAGGGACACACTGGAGCAGGGCTTGCAGCAGACAGGCTTGCAGCAGACAGGCACACAGCAGCATGAGGGCTGGCAGCTAGACTGTTGGCAGCATGAGGAGGATCCAGAGCAGATGGGTGTGCAGCAGACAGGCTTGCAGCACAGGGTCACACAGGATGGCTGGCAAGGAGAACAGGTGCAGCAAGCTGGCTGGCAGCTAGACTGCTGGCAGCATGAGGATCCAGAGCAGATGGGTGTGCAGCAGACAGGCACACAGCAGGAAGATTGGCAGCATGAGGGTGCACAGGAGCTAGCACAGACAGATTGGCAGCAGGGACTGGACCCACAGCTCACTGGGGTGCAGATGAGGGTCAGGCAGGGGGCTAGGGCACAGCAGCTGGGGACACAGCAGCTGGGGACACAGCAGCTGGACTGGCAGCAGCTAGGTTGGCAGCAGCTGGACTGGCAGCAGCTAGGTTGGCAGCAGCTGGACTGGGAGCAGCTAGGTTGGCAGCAGCTGGACTGGCAGCAGCTGGGGGCACAGCAGCTAGGCTCACAGCAGCTCTCTGGGCAATCATCAACCTGCCAGGAGGAGTTGGTGCAAGCATCAGAGCAGACAGACATGGTGGAGGCGGCCATGGTGAGATTTTCTGGAGGAGGGTGAGTGAGTGTTGAGTGAGTGTGTGTAAGGGGTAGGATACACTGACTTTATACTCCTCCCTGGCTGGGACTTCCGGCCCAGCCTGTGAGCACAGCTTCCTGATTGTTGTTGGCCCTGTTCCTGCTTTCATTTCCCGCATCGCTGCTCACATTGGCTGGTGCCTCGTCTGTTGTTTGCTCTTAGGTTTCATGGAGACCACGTGGACTTTCTCTGCGGGGTGTTTGGGTGTAAGGGAGGGCTGATGGTAACAGAGAGCCACACGGCTATGGGTTACTACTGGCCCTGGGTCTCATGGGCTGGGGTCGAACTCTGCCCTTCTGTGGTGCTTAGCGATGGTCAGAGGGGCTTCTGGGTAGAGAAACTCTGTGATTTCCCTTCAGCGATGTCAGTTCCCTCAAGCTGGGCAGCCAAGTACCCAACTGTATGGCTAACTGAGCTGTCACCACCTCACCATGGAGACTGAAGTCCTTGTCAGTGTCAGGGCTGGTCTATCTGAACCAAGGGGATTGCCCAGGCCACCCAGCTCCTGAGGCTGCCAGCATTGTTGGCTTGTCCCTGACATCTGCTTTCTCCCTGTGGGTTGTGTTCAGATTATCCCTTTTTAGACCATGAGTTGGATGATAGTCCACCTAGCGTCCCACCATACCTTGGTCATCTGCAAGGACTCTACTTGCCAGTACAGTCACATGTGCAGGTCTGAGACCTCATACCCAGCATCTCCAGAGGGGCACATTTCAGGCCGTCTGGAGCACCTGCTTAGGAGCAGACCAGTGTCCCCCAAGCCCGTCACCTAATCCAGATATCCTGCTGACCCATTGCTTCACCCACCCAAGACTGGATTTACTGGGATCCGGCAGTGGGCACCAGTGTCACACAGCTTAGGAATGGCCTCACGGCCTTTCACCCTTCCTTTCAGTACCTTGACTCTAGAGAAGAGGGCTTGTGTATCCTATAAAACACCAGTCACAGACCACCTGCACTTCTCCCAGTCAAATGGGAGCTTGTAGGGGGCCACAGCCCAGTGCACAGTGGCCTATGGGAACCATGTTGATAAGCCTCTGCTGGTCAAGCTACTAGTTCCCCCCCTGTCGCTAACGTGTGCCTGGACTGTCTTGGAAACTTCCAGCAGCCGGTTTCTACGTAACTATTTGTTCATCATGTCCACCCCCCTAGAGCCCTATCCCCAGTCTGGTTCTGTGGACTCTGCCTTTAGCCTATCTGCCTGACCACCATACAGTCTGAAGAACTATGTCCAAGAGTAGACCCACCTCTCTTCTCTTTCTTCAATGGTTCCTTATTTATTTTGCCCCAGTTGGCTGCTGGCTTGCTCTGGGATCTTCCTACCTTCTCCACTGCTGACCACCCTCTGTCTGGTCCAGGCTCATCTCACACTCTGCGCCCCTCCCAGCTCAGCTACTCTCCCACACCAAGGCCCCAAGCTCTGCCGAAGGTGTGATGTTTCTTGGGCCTCCCAGGAAGCAGGCTGAGAGATTCTTTGTGATCACAGAGGGCACTGGCACCTAGCGTTTCCTTTATGAGTTGGCTTTCCCGCCGATCCTGCACAGTCATTGACTTAAAAAAAGGAAAGGTTTATTTTGGCTTGTGGTTTTAGAGGATTCAGTCCATGATGGGCCGGCCCAGGTACTTTGGATGATGGTGAGACACATCATGGTGGGAACATGAGGAGGGGCAAGGCTGTTCATCTCCTGACAACCAGGACCTCCTCAAGAGTGCGCTCCCAGGGACCTAACTTCCTCCCCTTAGGCCCGCCTCCTATAGTGCCTTCAGCTAGGAGCAGACCTTCAACCCAGGCCTCAGGGACAGTCCAGGAGCAAAGCACGGTGCCCTCATTACAGTGCCAGGTCTTCCAGACTGGGCTTGTCTGGCCTCGAAGTTCTTTCTATAGCTAGGAGATTTCACTGCGAATGGAGCTTGGATTCTGTAAATTCCTTTTATGCATATGTAGAGGAGATCCCAGCATCCCCTTTCTTACCTTTCTAAAAATGTTTTTTTTAATTTTTATTTATTTATATTAAAAGATTTTTTATTTTTATTTTATATTAACAGACTCAGCTGGTCAGGAAGATCACGAGGGAGGTCCCAAGTTACCCTCATGTTAATTGCTTCTGAGTGTTGGCTAGGCTTAGGCTCCTGCACAGGCCTTGGGTCTGGGACACTTTTCCCCCTCTGTTGCTAGCGTGACACACTAACACTCTCCTGAAGATCTTTATTCTCTTCCAGGAATCTAAGCCCACGGCTTGCTCCCTGCCGCTCCCCCTTTGATAGTTCTTCTGGACATAGCCAACCCACCTGATTTGTCTCATGACCTCCTCTTGGGGCCTGCTGTGCAGTCCCAAAGGCTCTCTTTTGGCAACAAAGCTCTCCATTACCAGTGAAGGCCAGGCTAGACCGTTGATTCTATCTCTGGTGATGTTGAACTAGGAAGAGGAGCCTCTCCCAGGAGATGGAGGAGGCCCTCCCCACCAAAATTCCCCAGGGGTTCTGCATGACATCAGAGGAGCTCCCATCCTGGGGGACAAAACTCTGTCTCAGCACAGTGTCTGCCGTTGACATGGGGAACGCCCTTCAGTGGTCACTCTCTCTCATACGTATGCAGAACTCAGCAGAAGCTTGAGGAAGCAGGGCGGCAGGATCAGGGTTGATGCAAGACGCCTCCCTTTCCTCACTGGGAAAACAGGGACAGCCAGGAGGACCCACTGCTCCCAGGGCTGATGAAGCATCTACTGTCAACCCGAGTAACACAGGCAGAGTGTCTCCAAAGAGCAGCAACACAATGTAACGGGAACACACGCCGTGGCAAACTGCGGTCTAGCTCAAGAAGGCTGAGGCAAGGGGACATTTCCAAAGGCCGGGAGGGTTATGTGGGGCATTTGAAAACACGCCCTGGTCATGAGCATAGCAACAAGTACAGTGTCCATTACTGGTTGCAGGGCAGAGGCTTGGCAGATGTCCTCAGAGATGTTTTACCACATGAGGCAGTGGGCTCCTCTGTGCCACACTGCGACCCCAGCAGTTCCTGTTGGGACTGGTTCTTGCCACTCCCGTACATTCCCCCCAGATTCACTGCGTATTTCCACGGTTTGGGATTCACAGCTCAAGCCTGTGGCTGTAGCCTGGCTCTGAGAGCTTTCATGATGGAAAAGCTGAAAATATGCAGCCACCGTGAAGGAGTCATCATGGCTGTCGCATTGCGCACCCGTTGTCTAACCTCTTCCCCATCATGTTTCTGCTGCAGACCTTCATCCCCTGGACATCCTGGCAGAGGCGGTCCCTATGAACGGTGCTACAAGTGGGATCCGGATGGTGCAGGCCGAGGGTGTGCTGGGGCTCCAGTTCTCAGCCGCTGAGCCTCGTACCATGAGCTTCCCTGCCTCTAGAATCTTCTCCAGCTGTGACCTCTTCCCTGAAGAATTCTCCATTGTCGTCACCTTGAGAGTCCCCAGCCTTCCACCCAAGGTCAGTGGCATTTTTTCTTCTCGTAAGCATAGTTTTTCTCCTTGCTTTTCTTTATCGATGTTTCCAGCATGCGTGCCCATAGAGCGCTGTACTGATCTGAGCCACAGAGAGCTGCTTGGCATCGTTTACAGGAACTGGAATCTGGAGGGCTTGCCTTGCCCACATCCCAGCCCCATCCCTGGTCAAGTGCAGGCCCTGTCTGTGCAACCTTCGGCCTGATGGTTGCTGGTATTAGCACAGTATTGCACTGCCCTGTAAGGTGATTGTTGATGCATACATGGGTTTGCACAGATGACGGTTGATGAATAGCCAAGGGACTGTGTGGACTAATGGTGAACTGCATAGTCATGGTTTTGGGTGGCTTAGTGGTTGCTAGAACAGTCATAAATTTGTATAACCTGACGGTTGTTGGTATAGTCTCAGGTTTGTACAGCCCGATGGTTGTTAGCATGATCATGGTTTGTGTGGCCTGATGGTTGTTGGTACCACCATGAGTTGCAAGGTCCAGGGATTGTTCCTATAGCCACAGGTTTGCACTGCCCACTGCAGGTTTGTGTGGCCTGATGGTTGTTGGTATAGCCATGGATTTGCACGGCTCCGTGGTTGTTGATATAGGCATAGGTTTTTCTAAGTCTGATTACTGTTGGCAGAGTCAAGAGTTTACACAACCCAACAGCTGTTGGTAAAGTCAAGGAGTGGCATGCCCAATGACTGTTAGGACAGTCTCAAGTCTTTGCAGCTAGTTTGCAGCTAGGGGTAGTTACATGGTGGTTTTCAAAGCCTGGTGATTATTACTGCAGAGACAGATGTGAGATCAGTTGTTGGCATAGCCACCGGTTTGGGCGGCCTGGTAGTTGTTGGTCTAGCCAAGACTCTGCATAGCTCAGTGGTTGCTGATGCAGTCACGAATGGGCACCACCTCTGGTTGCTGGTGTGAACCCAGATATATAGAGCGTGATGGTTGTTGTACAGTTCCACAGTGGCTGGAGCGTACACATCTCTGTGGTTAGTAGCATAGTTCCTGATGTCTACATCTTGAGGATGATTAGTATGGTCACAGCTCTGCACAGCTCAGTATGGTTCTGGGTGTATACAACTCAATGGTTGTCATTGTAGTCATGGATTTCTACAATCAATGTAGGACAATTTGATCACTGCAGAAGAAGTCCTGTGTCCTTTCACAATCCCCTGGCCCTGCCTCATGGCTTCCAGCATGAGCACCTGTTGGTTGATGTGTTTTGTATTTCACATAGGTAGATCATTGAATCTAGCCATTAGTGACTAATTGCTCAGCGTATTTCCTCATGGTTTCATGCATGTTGTGGCGCGTGGCACAGCTGCCTCCCTGGTCATAGCTGAGTCACCTCCTGTTGTGTGCACACTCTGTTCACATGTGCTGACTCTGGTCAGCAACCAATGGGCACTTGGGCTGCCTCATCTCGGGGCTTGGACATGATGCTGTCGTCAATGTTCATGTCCTAGGGGAGTCACTCTCATTGCTCCTGGGGACAAATCTAGAGGTGGGATTCTTGGGTCACCTAGGAACTCTGTGACTTCTGAGGTACTACCAGGCTGTTTCCACAATTATTACATTATTTGTTGGGACGTGTGACAGAAATCTGCTCCCTCTGTGTGGTTGGGAAGCAAAGAGAAGAGGGCCAGGGTCCCCGTGTCCCCTTTAGTGGCACATCTGACTTACTTCCACTTCTTAAAGGACCCACCGGCACCCAGCAACACCATGAAGTGGGACCAAGCCTTTAGCACAAAGGTTAGGCGACAAATCGAAGACTCACAGCTCCCGTCTGTTCCTGTGATGCTAGATTCTGTTGTTGAGGACGTTCATCCACGACACAGAGGTGGTGGTCAACATGCTTGTCTCTGAGGACGGTGTGGGGGTAGCACTTGCTCGGAGTGGCTTGAGATGCGCCACCCCTCTCCAGCTTTCAGAACAAGTCCTGCCGGTCGGCGTCAATGTTTCTTGGTCTGTCTCCACCAGGGTCTTTGTTTTTCTACCTCGTGCTTGGCTCTGCTAGGTCACTGACCTGAGGCCTTTCTCAGCACGGTGTTCACAGCTGTGAGCTTCTCCCATCGCAGGCCTTCTGCTGCCTCTGCACTGTGATGGCCGATGCTGTGTCAACCTGACAGGATTTGGAATCATCTAGGGGACCCTTCTGGGCATGCCAGTGAGGGTGTTTCCAGGGTGGATTAACTGAGTTAACCGAGGGGGAAAGAGTCACCATGGATGTGGGCTGGTTTCCCAACTGAATGAAAAGGAGAAAGTGGGCTGAACACCAGTGTGCCTCTCTCTCTCTCTCTCTCTCTCTCTCTCTCTCTCTATCTCTCTATCTCTCTCTCTCTCCTTGCTGACTGAGAATGTAATAGGGCACTGCCCCAGGCGCCAGTCACCACTCCTCCCCTACCACGAGGGACTGTGTCCTCAAACCCTGAGCAAGGATGGAGTTGCTTCCTGACATTGCTCTTATTGGGTGTGTTGTCATAGCAACGAGGGGTTTTTGGTCTCATCATCTCAGCGTATTTTAGTCTCCTCTTGGTTGTTTAAGGGCTATGCTATTTATTTTCACTTATTTCTAAGTTTTCTGATTTTTTTTTCTGTCACCGGTTTGTAATTTTGTTCTGTGTGTTTTCTCTCCTCAGGTTAGCTTCATGACCCATGTATGTTCTGTGTAGACAGAGCTCTACACACACACACACACACACACACACACACACACACACTATCTGAGCCCGTGCCACACTGACACCACCACACTATCTTCACCACTGACACCCTCACTACCCACACCATCACCACCCACACCTACACCAGCCATACCTATAACACACACACCACCCACACCTGTACTGACATCAGCCACATCTATAACACCAGCATCATCACCTCACACACTATTCACACCACACACAGCTATACCACATATACCTACACCACCAACACCTATACCACACACACCATCCACAACCACACCACACACACACCTATACCACCAATATCTATACCACACACACATATGCCACCTACACCTACATCACACACAGCACACACACCTACACCACACACACCCATATTATCCGTACCCACACCACACACACCAAACACACCTACACCACACACACCTACACCACACACACCTATACTATCCATACCCACACCACACACACCAAACACACCTACACCACACACACCTACACCACACACACCTATACTATCCATACCCACACCACACACACCAAACACACCTACACCACCAACACACACACCACACACACCTAAACCACACAGACCTAAACCACCCCCACCCCCACATGTACACCACCCTCAGCACTCACACCTACCCCCCATTCTACCCATACCCCCACATTAGTAGAATACTTGCTTGGCTGCTGTGAGAAGACCCTGCAGGGATGCGCTGCATCGTGTAGACCTGCCACAGTGTGCAAGTGTTCTGTTTTGGTTAGTCCTTTTGCTAACTGTTCTACTGAAGCCAAGGTGTTAAGTCCTCAACTCACTTTGATGTGACTCTCTTTGTTTCTATTGACTTTTGCTCTATACTAGTGGTTTTCAACCTTCAAGTGGCCCTTTAAGGCAGCTCGTCATGTTGTGGTGACCCCAACCATAAAATTATTTTCATTGCTGCTTCGACCATAAAATTATTTTCATTGCTGCTTCATAACTGTAATTTTGCTACTATTATGAATTGTAATACAAACATCTGATGTGCAACCCCGTGAAAAAGTTGTTTTATCGAGGGTCAAGACCCACAGGATGGGAACCCCTGCTCTATACTTTGTTTTTTGTTTTTTTGTTTGTTTGTTTGTTTTTTCGAGACAGGGTTTCTCTGTGGTTTTGGAGCCTGTCCTGGAACTAGCTCTTGTAGACCAGGCTGGTCTCGAACTCACAGCCTCTGCCTCCCAAGTGCTGGGATTAAAGGCATGCGCCACCACCGCCCGGCTCTATACTTTGTTTTAAGCTCTTCTGTGAACCCAGACTGCACACACTTCAAACTACTTAACATCTGTACTCACTCAGTTCCAGTGAGATTAGAAAACGGTCGCTCCAGGACAGGGGAGATGACTCTGTGGGTGACCGCTTGCCACCTAAGCCTGAGGACCTGAGTTTGAATCTCTAGAACCCATGTGAGAAGCTGAAAATGACAGGGAGTGTCTGCAACCCCAGTGCTAGGGAGGCAGAGACAGGAGAATCGCTGGGCTCATTGGCCAGCCAGACTCATCGAATCAGGGAATGACCATGTGATGCGGGATGCCCTTCTGTATATGTGTTGCTTTTATTGCTTGGTGAATAAAGCTGTTTCAGCCAATGGTCAAGCAAAATATGACTAGCTGGAAGTTCAAACAAAGAGACAGGGAGAAAGAAGGGTGGATTCTGGGAGGCAGGACCTTGCCCTTTTGGTCTGAAGATTTGGTTGATGTCAAAGTTCTCTCTAGTGGTTGGCTGTGTTGCTTATCTGATCTTCAGCTTGAACCCCAATCTCTGTCTCTGGGTTTTTATTATTCGTGCTATAACCATGTCTTAAAAAATAAAGTGGAGGGGCTGGAGAGATGGCTCAGTGGTTAAGAGGATTGCCTGCTCTTCCAAAGGACCCGAGTTCGATTCCCAGCAACCACATGGTGGCTCACAACCATCTGTAAAGAGGTCTGGCGCCCTCTTCTGGCCTTCAGGCATACACACAGACAGAAAATTGTATACATAATAAATAAATAAATATTAAAAAAAAATAAAGTGGAGAAGAAAGGAAGAATAAACCATAGGTAGTCTCAGGCCTCCACACACATGCACAGCACACACGTGCAAACACATGAACACATACACACGAGGGTACACAAAAGATATTGCCCCTGTGGGTTGTTCCTTGCACAACTGGTGGTGTTGTTGGTATGTATATTGTATTAATAAATCCCGAAAACACAAGGACACGGGGTTGGAGAATAGGTCAAAGGTTAACAGACACCAAGTCAGGTGTCTCACATCTACCTGTAAGGTCAACATGGTGGGATCCAATACCTTCTTCTGGCTTCCACAGGCGCCCACTTGTGCTTCACAGACACTTAAACATGAATAAAAATAAATCATAAGGAGGTGCTGACTGTGTAATTAGGGCAGGAGGAGCTCTGAGGACCTGGACACAGGAGAGACCCCCAGTGCTCAGGGGACAAAGGACCATGAACGTTATGGGTGCTGTCAGGGAATGCAGAGACGTTCACCCTGAAACATGCCCCAAGGCATCCACTCTCCTACTCACATTGACTCCACCAGGCTGCCAGAGCTACCAGGAGAGCCTTGAGTTCTCACAGACAGAGGGAGGCACCGTAGACATCAAGACCTACAGAACAGCTCAGGAGCACATGCCACCATCTTCAAAGCCCACAGTCTGGGCTGTGCCCACTCCTTCTCTGCCCAGGTGGAGAAGCCGCCTCAAGAACTGAGACTTCAGAGATAGGACAGTGGCTGCCACTTCCAGATGTCACCTGACTGCTGACATCCCTGCCTCCCATGAAATCTAGCATGTCTGCGGGGTTTCCCCCAGGAGCAATGTCCCCAGACAACAGTATTTGATGATAGTCCATCCATAGTGAGACAAACAGCCTGACTCCAAACACAGACCAGGAAAAGACCAGTTCCTGAACTGATGCACAACACAAGCAGCCCAGGGGTATAAAGGCGGCCACCAGAGCACCTCACACACACACACTCACTAACACACTCACTCACTCACACCTCACCCTCCTCCAGCCAATCTCACCATGGCCACCTCCACCATGTCTGTCTGCTCTGATGCTTGCACCAACTCCTCCTGGCAGGTGGATGACTGCCCAGAGAGCTGCTGTGAGCCTAGCTGCTGTGCCCCCAGCTGCTGCCAGTCCAGCTGCTGTGTCCCCAGCTGCTGCCAGTCCAGCTGCTGCCAACCTAGCTGCTGCCTGTCCAGCTGCTGTGCCCCCAGCTGCTGTGTCCCCAGCTGCTGTGCCCCAGCCCCCTGCCTGACCCTCATCTGCACCCCAGTGAGCTGTGGGTCCAGCCCCTGCTGCCAATCTGTCTGTGCTAGCTCCTGTGCACCCTCATGCTGCCAACAGTCTAGCTGCCAGCCCTCATGCTGCCAATCTTCCTGCTGTGTGCCTGTCTGCTGCAAGCCTGTCTGCTGCACACCCATCTGTTCTGGATCCTCCTCATGCTGCCAGCAGTCTAGCTGCCAGCCAGCTTGCTGCACCTCCTCACCTTGTTGTGTGACCCTTTGCTGCAAGCCTGTCTGCTGCACACCCATCTGCTCTGGATCCTCCTCATGCTGCCAACAGTCTAGCTGCCAGCCCTCATGCTGTCAGTCCTCCTGCTGTGTGCCTGTCTGTTGCAAGCCTGTCTGCTGCAAGCCCTGCTCCAGCGTGTCCTTGCTCTGCCGCCCTGTGTGCAGACCTGCCTGCTGTGTGCCCAGCTCCTCCTGCTGTGCCTCGTCCTGCCAGCCCAGCTGCTGCAAGCCCTGCTCCAGCATGTCCCTGATCTGCAGCCCTGCCTGTTCCAGCCAGGCCTGCTGTGGCCTCTGCTCTGGCCAGAAGTCCAGCTGCTGCTGACCTGTTTGTCCCATGCTTCAGAGTCCCCACGTGCATGTCTGCTATACTCAGAGTTGAGAGCCCAGTGGTCCTGCTCCCAATAGTTGGGTTCAGCCTCAGTCCCAAGTCTCCCTGGTCAGCTCCCAGTGATGTAGCCATTACCCAACAGGCTCAAGGGGGATTCTTTTGTGGCTACTAGACACCTGTCCTAGGTAGAGACAGCAGGCTCTGTCTCCTCTTCCCCTGTCCTGGGCCTGGGAGCCGAGCTGACATGGGGTCTCTTTCTGTGCGGCCTTCCCCCTCCACTCAGCTCCCCCCTCAGTGCCCTCCATTGCCATCTTCTACTTTGTGAACTAAAATAAAACTTAGATTCCAGAAAAGCCTGTGATGTTCTGGTCCTTTAAGCTTCTACATTATTCTCTTCCATTCCGACTGGTCATTTCTACACCTGCCATGCCAGACCAGCTGCTGTGCCCCAGTCTCCTGCGTTACTCTTTCTTATCTGTACTCCAGGGAGCTGTGTGTCCACCCCCTGGTTGGACCATCTCTGGGATCCAATTCTGTTTCCAGAAGTTTCTGCCAGTTCTCACTCTTGGTGGCTTATTTCCTAGTGTGCCGCATCCTTTTTGGTTGAGCTGTGAACTTGTCCTTGACAGAGCCCTAGTGGATGGAGGCCTTGGTTGAAGGTGCTAAAGCAGCAGGGGACATGATCAGCCATGTTAGATTTGAGGCTTGACCTGAAGAAGACCGCCCAGAACACACGGGTCTAGGGGACTAGAGAGATCTTCTTGCAAACATATGAATACATACACACACACACATTACACAAAAGATACACCTCCTGTGTATTGATTTTTGCACAGTCAATGATCTTGTTGGGATATTCATTGTATCTACAAATAAATAAAAAACGCATAGGACACAGGGATGGAGAGTTGGGTCAGCGGTTGACAGCACTTACTGCTCTTTCAGAGCTGGACCTCCCGCTCGGAGGGATCTAGTATCCTCTTCTGAATCCCACAGGAACCCACACGTGCTCCACAGGTGCATACACAGAATAAAACAAACCTTCGCAAGAGCAAGGATGATACAATGACATGCCCATAAATGTTTGCCTTTTAAAGAATCCGGAGCAGGGTGGACCAAGCAGCCTCTTGTTTTCTGCTGTACTGGCCATTTCCTGATGGCTTCTGGGCCATTGGCTTCCCCTGTGAATTCTATCACCCTCAGGTGTGTAGAATAAGTTAAACTAAATACAAACCAATCAGAATAGGACAGAACAAAGCAGAAAAAAGGCATGCAGGTGCAGAGACACACACTTTTTCACATAGAGAAATCCCATAAAATAGAAAGTTGGAATATATATAAATATACATAAATTTATTGTATATTTTATTTATTGATTATTATATATTATTATATATTATTATAGTATATATACATATTTAATATATATGTTCTAATGTCATGTAAGAATAAATAACAAACAAACACATACACATAAAGGCTAATGGTCAGACAAAACATTATAAAACTTCCAAAATTCCTTTTCAGTTCCTTTCGTGTTGGCATCTGCGGCTGGCATGGAGCCTCCCTGAAGTGTGCTTTGTAAACCCAGGGGGACTCTGCTGGATAGTAGGAAACTTTCCTTTGTGAGTGGTTATCAGTTGGAATTAGGGATGGCGTTTTTGTCCACATCTTCTTTCACTCCTGGAACCCCAATCTTCCTTGGACCTGTTTACGCCTCCACAATCCACAGCAAGTGTTGGTGCCTACCGGCCTCCTCTGGTAGCATGCAGGGCACCTTCCAGTACCACGACCACTAACTATTCAGGAGGGGCTGAAGGCTTTAGGAAGACACCAACTCCACTTCTCAATGTTCAGTGAGATTTAGAGTGTTATCTTCAGCTGCAGAGTTTACCTTCAGCTCGTGGAGAGCTACCACAGCCTTGGCAATGGTGGTTTATACATGCCCCTTTGGTCAACAAATTGGTTAGATGTAACCTATTCCCAGACCTGGAGGTTTAATTTGGTGGCAAGAGATGTCTATTTGGGAATTTGTCTTCCTGTTGTTTGTGATTATATTTCTTTCATATGTATATTCATTTAAAGAAGCCTCTGCTGCTGTAGGTTTCCAAATGACCCCCATTTGTCCTTACTTTTAGTTTTTCTTCTTTGTGCTCCCTCCCTCACCTCCCCTTCTGTTAGCTTCCTTGTTTAATCCTCCTGTCCTATCCCATCTCGTCCATCCATAACCACAGATTCTATTTCCGCTTCTTTGGGGATTCCTTCCCTACAATACTTTTCTCCATACTCAACCTCTGCTTACATGGATTGTAGGCTGTTTATTGAAGAGTTAGCAGTTTTCTTCCACACAGAAGCAAACACAAATCATACTTGCCATTTTAGATCTGGCTTATCACTCTCAGAATGATTTCTCTCTCTATCTCCATCAGTTTGTGGATTTTGTGGGTTCATCTTTAAACAACATAGTAGCGTTCTATTACGGAAATATACAACATTTTCTTAATGTGTTCATCCACTGAGAGACGCCTAGGCTGTTTCCATCTGTGGCTGATGCTAATAGAGCAGCCGTGAACACGGAAGAGCAAGGTAGTAGGGTGCAGAGTCCTTTGATAAGTGCCCAAGAGGGGTACGGAAGGATTTGAGGTAGATTTGATTCCCTGCGCTGAGGAACTGCCACACTGACTTCCATAGTGTCTGTACAAATTTTTACATACCCTAGCAATAAATAAGTGTTCCCCTTTCCACAAGTTCTCACCAACATGAGTTATGTGTTTTATTGATCTTGTCTACTATTGTTGATATAAGGTGATATCATAATGTAGTTTGGATTTGCATTTCCTGATGACCGAGGATGCTGAACTTTTCGTTATATGATTTTCAGCCATTCAGCCAATTTATCTTCTAGAATTCTCTGTTTAGAACCATATCTCATTTTTAATTGTGTTGTTTTCTTGATGCTCCTCCCCCTCACACACACACTTTTTGTTTTTTCCAAGACAGGGTTTCCCTGTAGTTTCAGAGAATGTCCTGTAATACGGCTCTTGTAGACCAGGCTGGCCTCGAAAGCACAGAGATCTACCTGCCTTTGTCTCCTGAGTGCTGGGATTAAAGGTGTATACACCACCACTGCCTAGTTTGATGCCCATTTTGTTTTTTAGGTTATTATATATTTTAGACACAAGTCTCTACCAGATGTGTCTTCCCCATTCTGTACTTTATCACTCTGTGCAAATGACACTCCTGCTGACACCAGGAGTCCCTTGGTTTTCTTTATTGGGTTGTCTCTATTTTCCCTTAGATACTGGAATGATTTTGCTGTCTCTGTAATTCTCACCTACTGCCTCTAGCCTCCATGAGTCTGACCAGTCCTGGTCATTGCTGCTCTCAGGGTTCCTGAGAAGTTTTCAGAATATTCTGCTGGGTTGGCCTCACCGCTTCTTCAATGTAACACCTCTGCCTATGGATCTGTCACATGATCCTGTCATGTCAGCTGAGCTGGGTATACAGACTGATGTCTTTCAAAAAAAAAATCTGGCATGTATCAGCTTCTGTTTGAAATGAAATCGCTCCATCTTACTGCTTGGAGGCCCTAACACAGGATCTCATTCGGCCATTAGATTCCAAGCCCTGACGCCCATCCACCCCAGCCAGTGCCTGATATTATGAGTGGGAAGCCATTTGGAGTCTCTGAGGCTCAGACTTTCCCCAAGGATGTCCCCTTGACCATTAGAAATATGGCAGACTACAGAAACCATGAAACAATAAGTGACAAGAACTCAGGGTGTCCTCAAACATGGAGCCGTGATGAGCATGGCAGCTGCATGGGACAGCGTCTACTAAATAAATTGTGCACACATTGCATATGAAACCCCCGAGTTGTCTTGAGGGAGGGAGCTGGTTGTTTCCATGGAGCAACAGAGGTCTGAGGACTTGGGTAGAGAAGAAGCTGCCAGCTCTCAGAGGGGACAAAGGACCATGAATGTTATGGGTGCTGTCAGGGAATGCAGAGACGTTCACCCTGAAACATGCCCCAAGGCATCCACTCTCCTACTCACATTGACTCCACCAGGCTGCCAGAGCTACCAGGAGAGCCTTGAGTTCTCACAGACAGAGGGAGGCACCGTAGACATCAAGACCTACAGAACAGCTCAGAAGCACATGCCACCATCTTCAAAGCCCACAGTCTGGGCTGTGCCCACTCCTTCTCTGCCCAGGTGGAGAAGCCGCCTCAAGAACTGAGACTTCAGAGATAGGACAGTGGCTGCCACTTCCAGATGTCACCTGGCTGCTGACATCCCTGCCTCCCATGAAATCTAGCATGTCTGCGGGGTTTCCCCCAGGAGCAATGTCCCCAGACAACAGTATTTGATGACAGTCCATCCATAGTGAGACAAACAGCCTGACTCCAAACACAGACCAGGAAAAGATGCCAGGAACTGATGCACAACACAAGCAGCCCAGGGGTATAAAGGCGGCCACCAGAGTACCTCACACACACACACTCACTAACACACTCACTCACTCAATCACTCACTCACACCTCACCCTCCTCCATCCAACCTCACCATGGCCACCTCCACCATGTCTGTCTGCTCTGACGCTTGCACCAACTCCTCCTGGCAGGTGGATGACTGCCCAGAGAGCTGCTGTGAGCCTAGCTGCTGTGCCCCCAGCTGCTGCCAGTCCAGCTGCTGCCAACCTAGCTGCTGCCTGTCCAGCTGCTGTGCCCCCAGCTGCTGTGCCTCAAACACCTGTCTGACCCTCATCTGCACCCCAGTGAGCTGTGGGTCCAGCCCCTGCTGCCAATCTGTCTGTGCTAGCTCCTGTGCACCCTCATGCTGCCAACAGTCTAGCTGCCAGCCCTCATGCTGCCAATCTTCCTGCTGTGTACCTGTCTGCTGCAAGCCTGTCTGCTGCACACCCATCTGCTCTGGATCCTCATGCTGCCAGCAGTCTAGCTGCCAACCAGCTTGCGGCACCTGTTCTCCTTGCCAGCCATCCTGTTGCATGACCCTGTGCTGCAAGCCTGTCTGCTGCACACCCATCTGCTCTGGATCCTCCTCATGCTGCCAGCCATCCTGCTGTGTGCCTGTCTGCTGCAAGCCTGTCTGCTGCAAGCCCTGCTCCAGCGTGTCCCTGCTCTGCCGCCCTGTGTGCAGACCTGCCTGCTGTGTGCCCAGCTCCTCCTGCTGTGCCTCGTCCTGCCAGCCCAGCTGCTGCAAGCCCTGCTCCAGCATGTCCCTGATCTGCAGCCCTGCCTGCTCCAGCCAAGCCTGCTGTGGCCAGAAGTCCAGCTGCTGCTGACCTGTCCCATGCTTCAGAGTCCCCCACATACATGTCTGATATTCTCAGAGTTGAGGACCCAGTGTTCCTGCTCCCCACATCGAGGCTCAGCCTCACACCCAGGTCTCCTTGTGTTTTCCATATTGATTTTCCCCCACTCTTTTTCATCTGCCCAGATGCTGGCTACCATCCTATGACCAGGTGATGACCTGTGAGTCCCACAAACCTTCTAAATTCCCCCAGAGCATCTGGCCACCCGTGGGAACAGGCTTTGTGTGGAATGTGTGGGTCTCTCTGGAACCCTGGCCTTGAGCTACATCCAATGTTGGCCTTCCACCGACTCTGTGGGTGTCCTGTTTCTGTTTGCCTGGCTCTTTTGATGTAGCCATTACCCAACAGCCTCAAGGGGACCCTTTGTGGCTACTAGATACCTGTTCTAGGTAGAGACAGTAGACTGTGCCTCCATTTCCAATATCCTGTGCCTCGGCGCTGAGCTGAAGTGTTGTTTCTTTCTCTGCAACCTCCCTCCTCCACCATGCTCCCTTCCCCTTCCTTGCTTCCGTCCACTGCCATCCTCTACTTTGTGAACTGAAATAAAACTGAGATTCCTGGAAGAGCTTGTCTGGTGGTCCAGTCCTTTCGGCTTCTACATGTGTCCACTTTCCAGTCCAACTGGCCATTTCCACCTCTGTCATCTCTGGGATCCAATTCTGTTTTTGAAGTTTCTGCTGGTTCCAGTGTGTGTTGGTCTATTTCCTTGTATGCCCCATCCCTTTTGACTGTGACGTGGTGGTCTTGTCTCTGACAGAACACTGATGGAGACCTTGGATGAAGGTGTTGGAAGCACCAAGGGCCATGATCAGCCATGTTAGATTTGGAGCTTGTTCCTGTTGACCACACAAAACACACAATTTTGAGGGAATAGAGATTTTTAGTGGGCTGAAGCACTGAGGGGGGAGGCCTGCCAACTTCAGTTTGACTCCCAGATCCAACAAGGTAACAAGAGAGAACTGACTTCAGCAAGTTGTCTTCTGACATTCACAGGTACGCACACACCGCACACAGAGATACCACACATAACATGCATATACAAAACATGCATGCATGCATACTCACAAAACACGACACACTCATACACACCCATACACACACAACATACATATGCAATACACACATACATGACACAGGCACACACATACACACACACTCACTCATACACACACAGACATTCATACAATACATACATACATACATGCACGCACAATACAGACACTCACACGTGCTTACTCATGCACACACATACATTCACATACACATTCACACACATGCCATACACACAGCTCACACCCACCCACCTACACACACTCATACTTTCATAAATAAATCAAATTTTTTCCATCATGCTGTTTAATCTAGCATGTTGCCTAGAAAGACTTGTAGCAAGATTACAAACACCTCTCCAGCATGTCTCCTAGAGACCTTTTCATCCACTGCTCTGTTTGGCTGCTATCCTTATGTCTCTCTCGTTTCAGCAATGGTCAGGCTCGGGGAAGAGAAATCCATGGTTTGTTGCCCTTGCCAATAACAAAAATGTCAGAAAGTTGAGTGGCAAAGCTGTTGCCATTGGCATCTTTCACACAAATAAACCACATCAAAAGAGCCAGGATGTCTCTCTCTGTTGGCGTTCATACCAATTTTTCCCAAGGTAGCTGCTCCAGTCACCATACACAAGTTCTTGGTGTCAAACTTGATGTAGTCGGTTATTTTGCCTGTTTCCAAGTCGATCTGAATGGTGCCATTCTCCTTGATGAGGAGATCAGAGTAGCGAATAGCATGGACATGGTCAGTCACCAGACGTGGGACTGCTTTTGTACCCACAGGGATCTTTCTCACTTTGCATAACTTGACCGTGGCCTCCTCGAGTGTAATGCGATGAACAGCAAAGCGACCCTTGGTGTCGGAGATCAGATGGATGTTCTCTCCAGTCTTGTGATGATGACGTCCATGAACCCAGCAGTGTGGGTTCTATCGGTCCTGACTTTGCCAACGATCTCAGTCAAAAGCTGCACACAAATCTTTATTTCACCTCCACTCAGGGCACACTGTTCCCCAGGAAAATGATCAGAGGCAGACATTAAGCTAAGCTTGGATGGATGTGAGCAAACATGTCTTATCCAATGTTTTGGAGCAGCTACCTGCTTCAGATATTTCTTGGGACCATGAGTCACGGCTGCACTGTGAATGGAAGGGGTCTCCCCTTCTTCCAGTGAATGAAGAAATTAGAGTCGGAGGCATCAAGTCATTTTTTAAGACAAGCTTGTCAGCAGAATGGGAATTGGTGGTTTGGCAGGCGGATGGCTCTTTTCTAGTGTTCAGCGCTCCGACAGCTGCTGCTCCCACAGGCAACTATGGTGCATTTGATGGTTCTTATCTGAAGGGATAGCCCCTAGCAGCCTTTCAATGAACATGGGCCTGGTCATTTCCTTCCAAATTCCAAGGCTTGCAGATAGGCAAGGGGGGGCAGGAATCAGGTGCCTCCTGGGTCCTTCCTCTGCCCAGTGCCCAGTCAGTTCATAGGGCTAGGGAGGGCAGTTCTCTTGTCCTTGATACTATGGCTCAACCTCTCTGTAAGTCCCCCACTGATGGCGGCCAGCCTAGCCTTGGAAGATGGCCACTTCCTCCTTAGAGGATTCTGGAAATAAAGCTTGTTTCCCCATCATGGGGCACTGTAATCAGGCAAGAATGCCCTTCGGTCATTAGAGTTCCACCAGGTGTGGTGTGTGGAGTACTGGACCCTCACTTCTAGATGGGTTTCAGCAGCCACGGTCGGGGGGTCCTGAGCTCATGCAGCATCCTGGAAATCATCGCCTGCTCTGACTGCGTGAGCCTGTGTGGGACGTGGTCACTTTGGCAGGCTTTGCTCTCTCTGGGCCGTGAGTTCATATTTATGTTTTAGCTGTTGACACTGAGGATGAGTTTGCAGAGATCCTGAGTGAAACAGGCTGGCTTGGCTCTCTTGCCTTCTGTGATACTCTGCCCTGCTCACCTGACCTAACATGCTCTAACAGTGTTATCTGACAGATACAGCTCCCATGGGCAGCCCCCACTGTGCCAGGCTGAGATGGGAAACATAACAGATAGAATTGATTTAATAACTAGGCTTTCCATTAGGGCTGTTTGGATGTGACTGAAGAGTGTCCCCAGTGTCTGTCTTGGGATCCTGGTCCCTGTTGGGGTGACACTGAGAGGTGGGGTGTGATGAAGGCCAGAACTAACTCCTTTTTACCTCAGGAGTCCCCTCCCACCATGTGATCTCTTTCCAGGCCACTATCCATCGTGGTATGACGCACTTAGTGGGGGACCATGACACAGAACTGGGGCCATGCTGCTGGATTTCCAGTCTCCAGAGCCATGTTCATATATAAATCTCTTCATTAGCACCTGGCCTTGGGTGTTTCATGAGAGGAACAGAAAGCATGCTGACACACTGTATCTAAGATGAACAGAAAGCATGCTGACACACTGTCTCTAAGATGCAGCACTTCGCTTGGCTGAACCGGCTGTGTTTCAAACGCTCATAGTTGTATGTGGCAAGTTACGGTCACACTGGCAGTGCTAGTAGCCAGGACGATTAACACCACACTATGTGATTGATTTGAACGTCACACTTACACCCAAAGTCACTGCTAACTGAGACTTGGGTCATTTTCTGTGCCACTGTGTCTCACTAGCCCCACACTGGAATCTGCAGCCTACTGAGTCCTCGTGCTGACTTTGCCTCTGCCGCTTTAGCCCAGGCCGTGAGACAAACAACTGCCACTGGGGCCACGGGGGCCTTAGGTCATAAACAGATTCTTCCTAGTGCCAGAAGGCTGGGGGCCAGAAGTCAGCTCAGGGACAGTCAGCCACTTGGGGTGTGTTCTGGGTTCTGGCTGAACCTCATTCCTGGCCACAGACATGGAAGGGGGCTGCAGTGTGAGCAGCACCGACCCCATCACGAGGCTCCACCTTGCTGACTTGATCACCCCATCACACCGCACACTAGGGTTAGGGGGAGGGGCACCAACAGCTTGGACTCAGCTCATGACTGCTGAGCACAGGGCTCCTCTGGCTGCTAATTTGAAAACCTCCCTATACCCTGTCCAGAGTGGACACTCAGACTAGCTTTTACATCCGTGTTTTCTTATAGGAATATATTGTATATTGAGTATCCCTTTCTACCTTCTCCCTCCTTATTTTCTCCCTCTTCTCCCTCCAATTAATCCCCTTTGTCCCCGTAGACCCGTGGTTCTCACCCTTCCTAATGTGTGTGACCCTTTAATACAGCTCCTCATGTTGTGGTGACGCCAACCATAAAAGTATTTTCATTGCTGCTTCGTAACTGTAATTTTGCTACTGTTATGAGTTGCAATGTAAATATCTGTGTTTCCCGATGGTCTTAGGAGATCCCTGTGAAAGGGTGGTTCAAACCCTAAGGGTCACGACCCACGACCCATAGACCATTTGATTTCTCTTTGCATTTAATCCACACATTCATGATTTTTTTTAACCATATAAAATCTAGGAACGGAAATGGGATAAAATCTACAGTATTTTTCTTTCTGAGCATCGACTGGGTTCACTGAATGTGATTGTTCCTAGTGACAGCCTGTTTCCCTAAAAGCCACGTGACTTTGCTCCTTGTGTCTGGATTAAGTTCAGCTGGGCACACTCGCCCCCTCTTGCTCTCCGGGCCTGTTGATGGACGCCTAGGCCACAGAGAACAATCTAGAACACTCTGCTGTGTAGATGCTTCTGTGACCTGTGGACCTGGAGTCCTGCAGAGACCAGTGCTCTCATCCACTCACCCCTTCCACTGGCACACAGCAGCTATGCACTCAGATAAGGGTCCCCCAAGTCTTTTTCTCTTCTGAAAGAATATTTTTAAATTGTGTATATATATGCACATGAATATAGTCCAGAACGGAGTGTGGATCCTCTGGAGATGGAGTTACAGGGCAGCATAAGCCCCTGATGGGAAT